TTGTGGTTTTGTGTTGGGGATTTTGCTGGTGGTGGTGTTTTTTTGGGTGTTGGGTTTGCGGTATTGTGTGGTAGTTTGTTTTTTGGTTGTTTTTTTGTTGTGTGTGGGGTTTTTTTGTTTGTTTGGGTTTTTTTCTTTGTTGTTGTTTTTGTTTTGTTTGTTTCGGGTTTTGTTTGTGGGTGTGATTTTTTTGTTGTTGTTGGTTTTTTTTTTTTTTTTTTTTTTTTTTTTTTTTTCGTTTTTTTTTTTTTTTTTTTTTTTTGCAAGGTTTAGTTTTTTTTCTACAGTTCTTATAGAACTTGTCATGCCGTAGCAGATTGTGCCTGGCTCATCCTTGCTGTGTAAATACAAGGAGTGTGGTATAAGTGAAACCTGAGTTTGACCTGTTGGACTTTCAGAAATAGTGGCTGTTAGCTGGATAACACAAGACTGCTGCTTTAAAAACTTGGGCTTAATTTTATTTGCTTTTCTATGCTTGATAATGAAGATTGTTACCAAAACTGTGCTTCTGTAGAACTAATATTGCCCTCTTACAGAGGCAGCTGGCTGTGCTGTGGGCAGGACTTCGTTTGCCACAGAGGGGCCTTAGGTTGGAGTTTCAGAAAAAACTTCTGGACTATCACCGAGCAATAGAATAGTTAACTAGTGAGGTTGTATGTCTTTCCTTGTAGGATTTTAAAATCAAATTATGCAAACTTGTCCTAGTGTAAAAGGATAGGTCAGATTATATGAACTTTTGATAAGCCTTTCAGCCTCTCAGTGTGATCGTTTGAACACTTGAAAAAGTGTATGGGAGAGAAATCCCTGTATTTGTGGGGTTTCCTTTTGTAGTGTTTATCAGCTTAAGGGGAACAACTTATTTTCTTTTTCTGCTTAGGGAAAACCTAATTGATGAGTAATGGTAAAAACCCAAAACTGGAAAAACAAAATGCATCTGTCTTTTCTTCTCTTGTTAAATCCAATGGTTCATTCTGGGCTAGATGTAGTGTCTGACTTCCCCTTACAGCAGAACACGACTTTATATACTGTCAGGTTCTTAAGAGAAGAAAAGTTACCTTTGCCATCTGTGGGTAGTTAAATTTTAGTATATCTTGTGCCTTCAGAACTTCAAAAGAAAGACCCGACTGCTGTGTTTTAAAGTTTTGAAGCTTTTCAAGGATTTGAATAAAATGAAAATTCCTTTAGCTGTCAAACTATTTTACTGAATTGAGTGGAAGGTTTTTGTATTTGAGTTTCAAGTTTGATTAAAGGACAGGGTTGAATATATATTTGGTGAGGAAATTATAAAGAATGATATATCAAGATGATACATCATCTAATGGAGATGCTTGAAATACAATTTTTTTGACCTATGGTTTGTGCTTATTTGAATTTGAATGAGCAAACTCAGGGAAACTTAACTTGAAGACTGAACTGCTGAGTCCAACTGGGCAAGGAGGTTCTTCAGAATATTCTTAAAATTATAAAATGCATAAGTAAGTTGTACCAAGTTTGCTGGCAGGCCACATATTTTTACACCACAATGAGTCATTCTAATGCAAATTCAATATGAGGTGGAACAAGAAAATATATGGACTAGAAAGCTTGTTAAAAGATGCTTGACAATGTAAGGAGCCATTTTACTGCCAGCAACTCTTGCTGTTATCAGTGAACTCCAGTTTGTGACCATTAAGAGTCTTTCAGTACAAGCAAAGGCTCTTCATGAAGTCTGTTCAAAGAACAGGCAATGCATATTTTTTTCTTCAAAATGCTTATATTTTGCTACTGATGCAGAGCAAGTTTGATACCCAGGCTGTCCTCTTTTTTTCCTGGCTTAGCCACAGTAGATGCAGCTGTTTTAAATAAAAGTTGGTTTTAGGTGGGAATAAGAAACAGAGCATGCTAATGTTAGACATACTTTACTAATTCCTTTACCCTCTAGGAAGCATTGAAATAACTTCTATTCATTTTATTAAAAATCCCCTTAGTGTAAGTGATAATCCCCTTAGAGTAGCTTGTTGCAAGCTTATAAAATATAAAAGGCAATTTGCTTTGTGGCTGGTGAAGAGATTGTGACTAAAGGCTCTCATGCTGTAAGCCTGTGAGTATTGCCTTCCAAAAAAACCCCAAAACATCTTGGTAAAAGTTCAGGTGCAGCCATATTGTTAGGGCTGTGCATTTACAGAGCATCTGTTAGCAGTTGCACTAATGTAGGTGTTGAGGCTCTCTTCATCTAAATTCTCCAAGTAACAGCTAGTCAAAACTTTGAAGAAGGCCTTTCTAGTGGTGCTCTCTGTATTTCCCCCTTTAAAGATTAACATAGTGGAAAGTAGTTCTGCACAAGTAATTTTCAGAGAAGCATTTCTTGGCTTTTAAAGGGCAGAGTCTTTTTGCCCGGAGGAGAATTTTGGGCTTGTGTTTGCCAGAGCAGTACTGTGTGTCCTGCTCAGGCTGAGCCTCTTGGTAAGATTCATGGCTTTGGCAATGCAGATGGTGTTCTCAGCTCAAAGAAGTTTGCACAACTGGCAGATACTTAAAGCGTGAGCTAAACTGTATGAACTTAGCTGGCTGCACAAAAAAGAGAGACAGCACCTGAGCAAATCAACTTTTCCTTCTAAGCAATGGTATTTCTAGCTGCCAAGTCATAGCATCGCAGAATTGGCCCAGCTTTGTGCTTGACTAGACTTGCAGGTCAGCGTCCTAGAGGCTTCCAGTGTGCAGCATGCAGGGGAGACTGCTGTCCTTTGTCTTCTCTTCTTTGCTGTGTGGGGGAAAAGACCTGCTCTTTCCTGTCCAGCCAGCTGTAGCAGTGGGTAGAGGGCATTGCTTAAGTGCCTTTCATTATCTCCATGTGGATGAGGCAGAAACATTTCTTGGGCTTTCAGCTTTCTTGTGACACAATATCTAAAATTTTCTTTGTTTTTCTGTCAGTAATTCTAGGTTACCTCTTAGTGTTCCCTATTGTTAGGAGTTGAAAAAAAATTGTAGTAACACCTTCTTGAAAGAAATAAACAAAAAGAAGTTATCTTAAATAGATTAAATTTATGAAGCAGGTGAAGAATGTACCGTTTTACTTCTGGCACCAGTTAAGATCTTCTTAACTTAATTAAAGCTCTTAGAGAATCCCGCTGCTTCTTGGATGGTACACTGTGGTGACTATGCTCACTATGGTGAGTTACTTTAGATAATTATTGCTTTTAATATAAGGAATTTTTTGAAGGTATTTGCCAGTATATAACTTCCTAGTGAAATATTGTCACTATTATGATATCTTTTTAATACTGATGTAGGTCTCAAAACCTTCCCTATAATTTGTGACCAGTAAATAAAACCCAGAACAACCTGAAAAACTATTTTTACAATCACTACAACTTCACATTGTCAAGAGAAAGTATATGCTTCTTTCTGAAGCCTCTTTAGGGATTAGGTGGTGCTTTTTCCTGGCTTTCCATTCTTTCCCAAGCTGGCATCTGACTTTTATGTTAGTCACAGTTCAACTTCCATCTTTTTGCTGAGGGAGGCAGGTGGAAGTGGGTATCTCGTATGCTAGGAGAATTCCATGTCTGGTATGGAAAGTTTGCACTCTTTGCAAACATATGTAAATGTTTGAGTATAGTGAAAGGAAGGGGATATGTTCCAAAACCCAGCCAAACCAGGCAGCTTTGTGCCCCTTCTGCCTCTGCCTGCCTTGTGTTAATTCTGTGTTGGTCAAACAGGCCAGCAGTGCTGCCCCTTCAATTTTTATGTACTGCTGACACAGTGCTTAACCATAGCATCTCAATTGCCTCCTCCATCCAGACATGGATGGCATTTGTAAATATTTTTGGGAGGCTGTGTCCTATTTGAGAAACTATTTGCCAGCCTCACGAGCAGTGGGGATTTGTAGAGGATGTTCAGCAAAGGAGTGGTGGATGGTCCGTGGTTGCCATTCTTTCTGTGTGTTCTGTATGGTGGTTGTGGAAACCTGATCAAACCATGACTTTAGGGAGGCAGCTCAATGAAAGAAAGGTAATTGAGAAAGATGTAGTCTTCTTATCACCTCTCCTTAAGGAAGGCTAGTGCAACATGGAGGGGCAGGAGAGCTAAAGGTATGTGCTGATGGGAGTTTGCTTTGCTCTGTTTTGACTATTGCATTTAATGTGTGACAAAGTTAATATGAAATTCCCAGTTACAGGTAAGCAGGTATAACTCATGTTGGCAGGACACTGCTGCTATGTAAAGCTTAAAATATAGTGTGTTTTAGTTTATATTTTTTTCTGAAGGAGATTTAGGCTAATCAGGAAAAAGTGAACAGTTTACTTTTGTAATGATATAAATTAAAAGCAATCATACTGTAACTCAAATCCGTACTGCGTGGGGTAAATGGTGGCAGTGTAGGTTGTAGGCAGCCTCTACAGAGCTGGCCCTACTTTGTGTACTCACTGTTGCATGAATGTGTTTTAGCATAATCCAATTCTTCCGATTGGTCTGTTTCTAATTTAGTGTTTTATTGCTTTCTTACAGGCAGGCAGAAGTCCTGAAGGCTGACATGACAGGTAATTGCCTTTATTATACAGTTGATCTAGTTGCTAATACTTAATTCCTGTTCCTTATGTTTATTGTAATGCATGTATTCTTAAAGTTGACTTTGGGTGTTTTAAAGCATTTGGAGATTGTGATCAAGCTGCACCTCCTCTCCCAGAGACTCCTGTCCTGACTACAGGAACTGGTATATTTGAGATTAGCAAGAATCAGGATGGTTTTGAGAAACCTGTTAATTGAAACATTGATCTGAACACTACCACATGTGTTATGAAACTACAGCCAATAGATATTATGAAATGCTACAAAGCTATGTTTAAGCTGTGTTTATAGGAAATGGAAATGGTTTATTGGCCACACAGTATAAGCAGCTTGCATAATGAGCTTACTCTCAGCTGTGCTTACCACCTTGGTGTAGTACATGTAGCAGGTTGGTTTTGTCCCTGTAGGAACATAAAGTGCCTAGATCCATCTAAACCAGCAGGAGTGGCTACACTATTGGCAGAAGGATTTCCCTGGGGATGTGAAGCCCATCCCTTATACTCCCCTAGCCCCAGCTCAAGTGGTTTTACAAGGCATGGGAAATTCAACTTTGTTACTTGAGATAGCAAGGAGCAGTGTTTGCACTCACCCTCAGTAATGGAAAGCAGATGGCTACCAAGGAGAAAATGGCAAGCGTGCAGCAGTACTTGCTCACAATGCTCTCCTACATACCAGCAGCTCTGGCTCCTATTTAGCATCCCTTGATGGATATCTTCTCAGTGATTTTATTTTTTTTTTTTTTTTTTTTTCCCCCCTCTTTAGGCTACCCTGGAAATTTTTCTAAAAAAGTTTTGCAGTTCAGTGACTTAGAGAATCACCTCCTCCTATCTCTTTTGGTGTTTTTTAGGGTTTGGTTTTTTTTTTTTTTTTTTTGTTCTTCCAACTTGCCAGCTGCTGCCTTTGGTCATGCCTTGTTCTGGTGTTGTAGGAGAGTGGTCAGTCAATCCCCAGCCTGTATGTAGTTCTTGTATTTCACTATTCTGATGAATCTGTGATAGGAGCAGTTATTTGACACTGGATATCTTACACTGTGCTGTGTTCTTTCATTTGTTCCATGAGTGAAAAATCAGTTAGAGTAAGTCTGTAAATTTGAGAATTACAAAAACTGTTGTGTCTTTGTTTTTTCTTTTTGTTGCTCAGATTCAAAGCTGGGTCCAGCAGAAGTCTGGACATCCAGACAAGCTCTACAGGATTTATATCAGAAAATGCTAGTGACCGATTTGGAATATGCTTTAGATAAAAAAGTGGAGCAGGACCTGTAAGTACCTCAATACATTTGAATGTAATTGTATGTAGTATGTGTAATCTGGTCTGATGAGCAGGAAACCGTGAGACTTCCAGAAAAGTAATTGTATCCTATGGAATGGTTGTCTTACTTCCTTTAAAATGAGAGCTGTGCTGTGGGCAAAACATGAGAATCCATCCACTGCAGAGTTGATGAATAACATTCAGTAAGTTATGTTTTACTTCTGGCAATTTAGTACCAGCCATCTCATGCGGGAGTGGGTTTTGGTTAGCCAGATGGAATGGAGAGCACTAAGAAACATCCATCTTCTGTGCTGTCAGGGAAAGGCTGAAGTTTGGAGTTTCCAGAAAGGAGGAAATTTGCATAATGTAATCACCTGGAGCTTTGAGCAAGGTCCAACAGGAGCTAAAGACCATCATTTAAAGCCCTCTGAGGTAGGGCTGGGCAGAGGGAGGAGTATCAGGAGAGAACTTTAGGGGATGTTCATGGGAAGATCCTGCTGGGTGTTCTCCATGCCCTCAGTCCATTCCCTGTTATTTAAGATGCAGACATGGGTTGTAACAGGTTTAGTTAAGAGAAGCATGTGGTTCTTACAGCGCTGAGAAACAAGATGAGTACACTGGCTGAGTTGTCCTGCCCATGTCTTCAGTTACTGAATGATTTTTAACCCTGGTTTCTACACCCCACATCCTTTCTACACTACAAATTCCTATTTTAGGGAGGGAGCACTATGTTGCCTAAACCGGAACAATTGAAAGCAAATCTTAATGGCATTACAGACTTAGCTATATCGTATCAAGATCTGTTTCCCTAGTAATGAGAGGCAAGGAAAGGTGGTTCTTCCATACTTAACATTTGGATCTGAATGTTGCCTGGATTTGGATACTGTTCATTTCAATGTCTGATGCTATGTAATTAAAAAGTTCTTTCCTGTTGCTTATGCCATCCGTATAAGACACTTCCAGAGTAAAAAGTAAAATGCTTCTCTTGTTTTCAGTTGGAATCATGCCTTTAAAAATCAGATCACAACGCTACAGGGTCAGGCGAAAAATAGAGCAAATCCAAATCGGAGTGAAGTTCAGGCAAACCTTTCTCTGTTCTTAGAGGCAGCTAGTGGCTTCTACACACAGGTGAGTTGCAAAAAGTTTGTTGGCTATGGTATATTTGTATAGTCTGGAAGCAAACGTGCTTCAGCCTTGTGCTACTTGCGTGGGGGTCCTTTACAAAGCTTCACTGTCAGACCTCGTGTGCTGCTCCAGTAAGTGCTTATGAGAGATGAGCTCCAATATCATACTAGCATGTCATCTCTTTGAGGAAGGGCAGCAGGATTTGTTTTAGGTGGGTAAAATCTCTTCCCTTAGTGTAAGAAACTTGCTGTACTGGATGAAGCAGTATACCTTATTAACACTGATGCTCTCAGTAGAACATGTCTACAAAGCTGGTGATGTGCTTTCTTTCCTTCAGCTGCAGCCTCAAGTTCATCTGAAACTTCTGTTAATCTCGTGTTTGTCTCAGTGCTCCATGAAAACACAGGAACAACTTAAGTTCTCTTCTAATAGAAACTGCTGTAAAGCCTAAAACTAATTGCTTTGGTTAGAATCAAAGGTCCATTTAGCAGCATATTTTGTCTCTTACAGTAGTCTGCTGTAATTGCTCAGAGTGAATATTAAACAGCAGGAAAACTTAGAACGAAACTTGTTGCTCTAGCTTATTTTCTGGCTGTACATTTATTGCCTTCTTGAGCTAGCTTGTTTCTGAATTGTTTAACTATTAGGAGGTCTGGTCTTCATTGGCTCTCCAGTCCCTCTTGGAGCAATTTACTCTGGTTTCTGCAGTGATCTGTGGTGAAGAAATCTGTATTTTAATTGTAAAGTCTAAGAATAATGATGACGCAAAAAAACCCAAGCCCAATAAACTTGCTAATTGAGGATTTCTTGATTTCAATTTTTTAAGAACAGAAATACGTGAAGAATTCAAAAAATGCAGATGCACGGAGGATATGTTATGGCTTAATGTTTTGTGCTTTGTTCTTTGTCCCTTTCTTGTATCTCCTAAACACCGATGGTGAGCATTGGGTTAATATTTTCCAAGAACTGTTTTCTGAATAATACCTAACTTAGTGCCCACCACAGTTGTGCATTTAACTAGGGTGGTTGTCCTAAGAGTATTATTTAGCATCTACAGCATACAACGTCTTTCTGGCTTTTTGATCGAGACTCCCAGGCTTACATGCACCATCTTTGGTCTTAATTCTGTGATGTGTTAATTACTTAGAATTGTACTTTAGTTATAGGAACTTTTCTTCTCCTTAAACAAAACTCTATCATCAACTGCTGTTGAGCTAAATGTCTTCTGTGAGGTTTTCAGTTAACTGTGAAAGAGGTGTGATTCCTATTCATGTATTTATTCATTACTGCCCTGTTTTTGCTCATATTCTTTCCAGTATAGATTTCAGCATGTAAATTATGGAGAATAAGAGTTGGTGCATGATTATGGCCTTAATAAAGATAACTTGCCTTTCTTTCCTTTTTTCCTTGTTTGGTATATTGCTTCAGCAGCATTCACTGCTGAATCCTTTATCTCAAGTAGTGGTCTGAGTAGACTTTGTCATGGCTAGTTTGCACTGTCTTCAGGTTACAACATGCACATTAGGCCATTCTTGCTGTATCAATTCCTAATTTGATTCTGAACATCTGCAAGGCAACCCTATTTTCTTTCCCCTCAGAAAGTGTGTGATTATCTTTCATCGCCCTCCAGCATTGTTTTTTGGACAGCTTCTTATTAGTAGCAGTCAGTGTGACAGGCTGTGTTGTGGTTGCCAAGAGTTTTCTGCTGTCTCTACTGTTTGTCTTGCAAAAGCCTGTTTTTCCCTTCAGTGTATCAGGAAGTTTTGTTCTTTCTGTGTATGACACCACAGACTGGGTTGTCTTTCTCTGTTTGCTGTGATGTTGATTGTCCCATTTTTAGTCTAAAGATTTAGCTCAGGCAAGATACCTGCTCTCCAACTGCGAAGTGTGTGTAAACGATGCCTTTGAAAGAGAGCATGAATTCTCCTAATTCACCATGTTGGAAGATGTCAAGTTTCTCTCTTACCCAGCTTTCATCTGTGAGATCCTTCTTTGGGGATTTTTATCTACTGTATAAGAGTAAAAGCAGGGGGAGGTGTAACACAAACCTCTTTCTGCATAAAGCAAAAGCACTGCATTGCACATGTAGCCACTGACAGAGTGGAGCACACTTTCTTATATGCCGTTAGCTGGAAGTGGAACTCTGCTGCAGGTCTGTTTTGTTTGGAGACTGGGTATGTTCCCATCTGAGAGAAAATCTGACAATTCTTACTTACATTTTTAATGCTGCAACACAGTGGAACAAATACTTTTAATCACCATGTGGTTACTGTTACTTTCCAGAGTATTTGCTGGAGTCCGTTAAGAAAAACTTAAAAAGTGTTAATTAGAATGGCAAAGTTCAGGTTTTCCTTTAATCACCTTTTTAGATATTTGGTCAAGTAGCTGATGCCTTGTTCTTTGAAAGAGTCTCACTGTTAGCTTGCCACAGGTATTTACTCACAACCCTGCTGCTGAACTGTTAGCCACTATTGCCTTGCCTAAAAACTTGGTTTTGTTCTGGCTTCTCTCTAAATTTTATGTTAAGGTAGTCCTGTTTCCTATGTTGGAACAAGCTTCTTTGGAGGTTGAGTGACATTTCTTTCTATTATTTTCAGAGAATGGTGTTGTTTCATCAAGGTATAAAAAAAGACTGTTCCTCTTGAATGTCCTGTTTGAAAAAATCCCACAAACCAAACAAATCCCAACAAGATTTGTACGCCTCTGATAGTTAATTTCCACTGATTCATGCTTGGTAATTTAAGTGTCATGGGAATTGCATTGCTTACTGGTTTGGGATACACAGCTATTTCTTACAGAGAAGTAAAACACTTTGTGTTTCTGGGCAGAATAATGTAGCATCAGGCTCAATGACTTCTGTATGGAGAATGTAAATTAAAGTCTCCACTTTTAGTAACTTAGGTTTGTTCACTTCAAATACACTTAGCTAATCTGTGCCTCCAAGTGATGCTCTGTTAGTTTTATCAATCGTTTCAGTGCCTTGCTGATTACTATCTCTACCTGCTACTAAACTGGACCTGTTTTTCTAGTTATTACAGGAATTGTGCACAGTTTTTAATGTAGACTTGCCATGTCGTGTAAAGTCTTCCCAGCTGGGAATCATTAGCAATAAACAGACGCACACCAGTGCCATAGTCAAGCCGCAATCTAGCTCCTGCTCTTACATCTGCCAGCACTGCCTTGTTCACCTTGGAGATATTGGTGAGTTTTTGAAGGAAAAAGAGGTGGGACATTGTGTACAGCCCTTGCTTAGAGGGATCTATGCATATCATGGGCAACTGCTGGACCAAGTGTGCTCCAGATGAGTAGCTTATAGGTGATTGTATGTTTGGTGGTTGCTGCAGGGGAAAAGGTCTGGAAAGTAATGCTGTTAGACTTCTCTAATGCATATGTTACACATTAACACGTGGCGACAGTCAATCACAAGCTTTCTAGTGATTTGCTAGAATCTGTCTTTTAGCATACTAGTCATGTTATAGCTGGTAGGCACAGTGAAATGTTGAAACTGGTAACTGTTACAAAAGCTTGTTGCAGCAGGCTAGCATATTTCTCCCTTTCAGAACATTACTTTTAATCTTACACAAAATCAACAGTTAGAAATCCAGCCTTTCATAAGCAAGGTTTCTTTTTTACGTAAGTTCAACAGGTTTATTTCTTTGTTGATTAGAGTAGAACTATGTGTTGTAGAAAGTTCTCTTTTCTCAGGAATCTGCAATTGCTTTTGGAACAACCTAAAAATAGATCTGTTTGCTGATTGTGCAAAGAAGTATGTAAAATATTTGTAGCTCTCTGGATGTGATGCTATTGGCACAGCATCTTTCTACATAAGAACTGATATGATGTGACATAGGATCTGAGGAAAAACAACCATTTCACAATTCAACGAGTTGAATCTTCGTTGTATTTGGTGGAATTGTATATTCTTCTGACATATTTCTAAAATAATAGTGAAATGTTCTTTAGGTAAATTGTTTATATTAAAGTAAGTGCAGCAGAGTTGAATTTTATGCCTCAACTTGGTCTTTTTTTGTTCGCTCAGCTCGCTATAGGAATCAGACCAGCCAAGCAGAGTCTTACTACAGACATGCAGCTCAGCTTGTCCCATCTAACGGTGCGTCTTGGATACCTTTTGGGTTTATAATTCCAAAGGAAGATGGGGTACTGCTTTTCTCATGTAGCTGGAAACTTGGTGCAACAAAGCCTTACCTGCTGGTAACTCATTTAGACAATAGTTATTTGCTTGATCTGTATCACTTTTCTCCTTTTTGTGAAGATTTAGAAATAAAGCAGGTAATACACAGCATCATTCTAAGGCTTTACTACTGCTGTTATGCTGTATTTACATTCATACACTATAAATTATAATTATTGAAAAATTATCTACCACCAGCCTTTGGGGTTGTTTTGTTGTGGTTGGTTTTTTTTTCCCCTTATATTGTTTGCTCACATGGCAATTTGTAAAGGTCAGTAGCTAAAATCCAATTTTTCAAGTTGCTCATGGAAGTTAATAGCCTCTTTAGTTCAGAGATCTAATTTTTTAGCTATTGGCTTACAGTGATCCAGAAAGTACAGATGGTGAGAGAAGGATAAATCTTTTTTTGAGCCAGGCTGCTGAAACGAGTAATTCAGGTTTTTTAGCCAATTATATTCTAACTGAAAAATTCTTTGTATTCTAACCATAGAAATCCTTACTGTACAGGCAAAAAATACGAAAAACTCTTGATAGTTAGATTTGCCTAAAACTGGGCTAGGTTTTGACTGTATCTCCTTATTTAGATTTGAAGGATGCATGTTTAAAAAAAACAAAAACAAAACCAAAACAAAACAAACCCCAAAAAAACCAAACCAAACCATAAAACCCCCAAACAAATAAACAAAAAAACCCAAATCAAAACAAACAAAAAAAATCCCCTCAAGCCCAAACAAAAAAAAAAAAAACCCATACCAAAAAAAAAAAAATAAACAACCCAGCCCCCCCTCCTCAAACAGCTTCACTAGTGACCTGTCTCCTCCCTGCTCCCCTCCCCACAAAAAAAAAAAAAAACAACCAAAAAACTATGTGTTCACTTTTCAAGAGACTCCATTTACCCTGCAATTTAGCATGCTTCACTCCATTCACTCCATGACAACTTGATGGACAATGTGTCTTTTTCTCCCTTAGGTCAGCCTTATAATCAGTTGGCTATTCTAGCTTCCTCCAAAGGAGATCACTTGACCACAATTTTCTACTACTGCAGAAGCATTGCTGTGAAGTTTCCTTTCCCAGCTGCCTCTACTAACCTACAAAAAGCACTTTCTAAAGCACTCGAGAGGTAAGACTAAGTATAATGTATTTGTGGTCAGATAGATGGAGGAGATTTCATCCAAATATACCTCCGTTGCCAGAAGTTATTCATATTTGGTAGTAGAAACAGAAGTTCCTCAACCCCCATCCATTGAGAGCATCCTTACATGTGTGGAACAAAGATGGTTTGTATCTGGGATGTTCCTGAGTGTGACTAGTGCATGCAGGAAATTAAGCATATTCTGCCAGCATGAAAAAACAGCTTTGCATGGACATTCCTTCTTTCTTGAACTTCACAGAAAAAGTATGTAGTGTTATATACAGCTGTGTCTAAGTCCAAAGACTAAATTTGGGTATTTCTGTTCTGAATGTAGTCGTGATGAGGTGAAGACTCGATGGAGTGTGTCTGACTTCATCAAGGCATTTATTAAGTTCCATGGCCATGTGTACCTGAGTAAGAGCTTGGAGAAGCTGAGCCCTCTTCGAGAAAAGCTGGAAGAACAATTCAAGGTTAGTTCTATCAACGTATTAATTGTTATATTGAGGACAGTATTTTTAGCAGCTGAGTCCTGAAATTACAGCCCAATAGTAACTTTTTCACATGCTAAAATACAGGAAGCCCAAACAGCCAGTTGTGGAAGGTTAAGATCGCAGCTAACACTGGACTCTGAAGTCACCAGATGTTGACTTCTGCAAACAGTAGGGATTTTTCCCATTTGACATGTGGCACATTGTTGGAGGTTCAGGAAAAATCAATGACCATTGTTGATTCTCTGCTCTTTAACCTGGATGATTCTTGGATACTTGTGAAAAACTTGATTCATCTGGGAAGTTGTACCTGAGTTGCCTGAGGAATTTTGAGAACTTCATTTTTGGATGGTGTTCATTCACTCCCACTAGTTGTTAAGGCTGCTTTTAATCTTCCTCAGACAACTTGGCTCTCCTGTCAGCAGTTTGCCTTTAAAAAGCGTTCCAGTACAAGCATAATCTGTGTGTAGACAAGAACTATTCAGAACACGTTTCCTCTGGAATATCCAGGAGTACCCATTAATTATATAGCCAGCTCATTAAGTTGGACAACATAGCAAAGAATGAAATAAAGAGAATTTTATAAGATATTTACACAAGGTAGTACAATTTCAAAGAGGACATTGTATTAACTGTTAGGTGCATTTTAGAAACTGATCTGCTTCAGCATCTTCATTTGTGGAAGTGAGCAGGTAGTATGGGTATCTTCAACAGAGCAATTGGTGCTTTTCCAAATTAAAAAAGGGGAAGGTGGTCTTAGCAATATAAAGAATTACAAATGTTTTTTAGACTGTTTTTTTGCATTGAATTGGGCTCCTATAGCTAGGTCCAAACTGTCTTGAAAATAAATGATAAAAATAATACAAACCCACAAACCCCACAAAACTTACTGCGAATTGTATTAGCTTTGACTGCAAGCTGCTTGAACACTGGGATTTAAAGTTGTTTCAAAATTAAATAATTGTATTTCTGTGTGTGTGATGTTGGCTGTTGAACTAGTACTGCTTTTTTCCACAGTGCTTATAATCAATAATTATGAGGATTGCTCAGGCATGTGGAACAGTGGGGTATTTTTCTGAACTGATCCAGGATGTTAAAATAGAGTTAATTGAGCCCTGCTTTGTTGCTTAGATTACTTTTTTGTTTGTTATGCAACATAAGGCTTAATTTACTAGAGAGCAACTCTTCTGACTTAAATGGGTTGAATGTGAAATTGGCTGTATGGTGGATAGTCACCTTGTGGCTGATTTTAACTCTGAATAAGGAGAGCAGTTGTAGAGTTAGGAGTGTTAAGCCAGGCCCATGATTCTGCTGCTGAGAGCCCTGGCAGTTTGAGTTGTTGGCTGTAGAGTGCTTTATGCCCTTACCTGAAAATCAAGGTTGAACTTGGAGCTCAAACCTTTTCCTCATGCTTGTGCTGGTTAATCCACTTGCTCCCCTGACAGTTGTGTCTGAAGACAAGTTGGTTGTAGTTCAGGATATCTCCTTTTTTTCACAATGCTCAAAAAACCCATTGAAGTTTCTTTTCCTGCTCTGAAAAATGTGGGTTTTTACAGCATAGTTACTGAAATGCATTTGTAAATAGCCTGTGCTATTTTAATCCACCATGGCATTCCGTGACCCATGAAGTCAGATGTGGAATGAGTCTTTAATACATAACCACACAGTAGTTAAATTTTCCTGGGGTGTTTTTTAAAATGTCACCTTCTCTTTGCTGTTTCTTCAGTAGATACAGTGGATATACATGCCTTTGCAGATCTTGCAGTTTTGTTGCAGTGCTGTGATTGCACATTGAAGTTGTACTTGCTCTGAAACAGAACCATATCCAAGGGGATGTTGATTTGTCGTGCATATTAGTTGGTGTATGAGCAAAAACCTTGGGCTTAAACAGTCCAAGTCCTCCTGGGAAGCCCAGTGCTGTGCTAATAGGGATGACTGAAAATAAAATCTAGAATTAATGTTGCCTTAAGGGCAGAAGCATTAGTCAAGAAGTGAAGTAGCAACTACTAATCTTTTCAAGTGTGTGCTTTACATATATAAGTAGATATCTCGTTCCTGTGTCTGTTACAGAGGTTGCTATTCCAAAAAGCCTTCAATTCCCAGCAGTTAGTACATATTACTGTTATCAATCTGTTTCAACTACATCACCTGCGAGACTTCAGCAATGAAACGGAGCAGCACAGCTACAGCCAGGATGAGCAGCTCTGCTGGACACAGTTACTGTCTCTCTTCAGTACGTATGAAAATTAATTTTTTTGGGGGGGAGGGGAGTGTTCATTTTTATATGGAATCCGTTAGTAATTTGCTGACAGCATCTAGCTTAATGGTTGTGTGAGGTAAGTGATGAGAATAGACTTTATGGAAGAAAGTTAAGAGAGAAGGTGGTTGCACAGGGATCGTTTATGTCTAGCAGTGATGACTAACACAGGATTTGTGTGCCCTGGACTTACTTTGTTTGAAGCCTCGCAGAACGCGGCATCTTTTCCGTGGTTCTGAAAGAACATTTTAACTTGGGTGCAAAGTTTGGTCCAACTTAGCAGCACTTGGGGAGCTGCTCCTCAATTGGCCACAGTGCAGTTTCAGTTGCTTTGAATGGAGCTAGTTCTGATTCAACAGAATTGAAGTTGAAGCTGACTGAAATAGGACCTCAAGTGCTTCTGTGCTCTGGGTAATGCAGAGCATTTTAGACTCTAGACGCATAATGCCGATTTCCTTAACCTGATCCAGCCCATGATCAGCTTGGCCTTGTTTGTAAACACCTAAATTTCTGAATAGCTGAACTTCTCCAGGTTCCATTCTGGAGTTGATTCTGAAAACACAATGGTCATACTTGTGTGGTTACTGCTTCTCAGCTCATATGCTCTAATGGGCCTGAGTTGGGTGCCTGCTTGCAGAGCTAACTCAGTGGATTTGTGTGCCTGCTGACTGGGGAAGTGGATAAAATGCAGGTAGATAGTTAAGTTGATAATTTGTAATAAATAAAGAACAAATATTTTTGTAATGGTCTTGTCTCACTGGATTTTAACTTACCAAAATGATTTGTCATGACACTTGAAAAGAATAGGTGGAAAAAATGCCAAGATTTGGCTTCATGGTAGAAAGCTCTTTATTGATAAAAAGATGTTCTGATCTGCTGGTGGATTGTTTAAGTAATTTGTCTGCTTTGTTCTAAAGAACTAGCTCCTAAAAATAGGATTTTATGGGTGGAATGTGTTTGGGTTATTTGGTTAACTTTAAAGTGTCATTCCTGCATTGTTTGTGTTTGGTTTTGTCCATCCTCTGTTTCTAGTGTCCTTTCTTGGAGTTCTGTGCAAGTGTCCTTTACAAAATGATTACCAGGAGGACTCTGGGGCTGCATATCCTCTTCCAGCTGTGAAGGTTTCAATGGACTGGCTGAAACTTAGGCCCAGTGTTTTCCAGGAGGCAGTGGTTGATGAAAGACGGTAGTGAGTGTTAATCTTTCTTTTGATACATTTGATTACATAAGTTAATAACTGATGATAAACAAACTAGTAATGGGAAAAATGATCATATAACTTATTATTACAGATATCAAAATGATAGAGAGCAGATGTGCTAAAGAATTAATAAAACATGAGATTTGTGGAGTACATGAGCAAATTCAGTGTTTTAATTAGCTTTAGGTTTGCATGTAACTTTTAAAATCAGAGGGATCTACTTTATAATGTCTGATGAGCGTAACTACTGAGTGTAGCTTTAGTCTAATCTGTTGTAATGATTTCTCAGATTTATTGAGGTAGGTGGCAGGAGAATACTTGCCTTAATTTCATGCATTAAGCCATCTCTTGGGCAGTGCTGGAATCCGGTTTTCCTGGCTCCTCATCCATGAATTAATTTAATTTAGTAGAGGGCATCTTTAAATGTCAGCATAGGCATTACTGTTCTGGACTGTTACTCTGATTTTTCACTTCTGTCTCTAATCTCATAAATTTAGGCTTAAATAGTTCAGAACTTGCCAACTTTTTTTTTTATAGCCTGTTAACTTTTCATGTATTATAGCAATTCGGTAAAGTATTTCTGACCTGTAAGATGTTTCGTCAGATTGGAGTGACTGTTATTGACACAGTTGGATGAATATTTTTCCTGGGATGGCCACCATAAGGAAAATAGTGCAAAATTAGCTTGCTTAGCTGATCTTGTGCAATGTGCCACAGTGGTTTCAGCTCTCTTGGCAGTGTGTGCTGTAAGGTACAATTCTAGCCCAAGGGTCACATTTTCTGTACATTGACATATGCAGAGCAGGGGTCCCTATAACCTTGGTTTTGCTAAATAAGTAATAAAACTCCCCCAAATGTGGGCAAAGTGTAAAGCCCTGGAGCTTTGGGAACTTCAACTTCAGAGCTCCTGAAGGCAAGATAAGGAAAATAGGAATTCACAAATTGTTCTGAGATGGTAATAAGTATTACTGTATGCATATTCTCAATGAAGACTTTATATAATTTTTTTTAACAGGGAAGATAATTACTTGATACAAAGTAGTCCTTGCAGAGAGGAGATGCAGGGAGTAGTTTATGGAGTATCAAAATGAATCTTCTGGTGTGAATGTGTATTTTTTATTTATCCAGAGTAAGTCCCAACAGCTGTAAAATCATAGGTGAACTTCAAAGATAGGTACTACTAAAATTTGTCAAAAAGGGCGTTAGTAGCCATTACATTTGTTGGCTCTTAAAAGTCTGTCCACCTTCCCCATTATTTGTAAGGATGAGTTTTCTTTTTATTTCTATGGGAAGATCCGAAGGGAAGTAATTCTTAGCAGACTACACAAACACACACATGTTTATTGGCCTCTGTTTAATAAGCTTATATAATGTTTTATATTGAAAAGTCTTCCTTACTCTGAGTTCATATGTAATTGTGCTCTTGGTTCAAGAAATAGTCCTTACACCTTCTTAAACTTTCACTTCTCCCCACTCTATGCTTATCATTTTCCTGTGGATAATTAATCCTACCCCAAACTGAACGAGCCTCTGAAATAGGAAGGAAACATGTTTACCTAGAAAAGTAGATGAATCTGAAGGCAGGGACTGAGAACTGTATCAATACTAGTCTGTTGTCTTTGGAAATGCATTTTCCAAACCTGCTCTGTGGAAGCCGCAGTACGTCTAGATTTTCTTGTGTGTCACTACATCGGTTTTCTTTAGGAATCTCTTATTATGGAATCTCATTATTTCAAATATCGTACAGGAAGGTTGCAGTTCACTGTAGGTTGCAACAGACTTGCACTCTCTTTTTCTTTCTTCTCCTGCTCCTTGTCAGTCATGGGAAGGAGCTATTGCTTAGTGTAGCATAGAGAATAAGCATAAACATGATTCCAGTCTCTGAAATGGTGCAAGAAAGCAGATGACCTCAGGCTTTCAGGTGTACATTGCATTCTCCAATCTAGGTACTGGATGGTGGCACACAGACTTATTGAGGGAGGACAGATTCATTTCACTAACACAGAGCACAGTGGACACCTTCCTAAAATAGTTTTCTGTTGCCTCCATGGACTTGGTGCCCATCACTAGAGCAGAAGGAGCTTTTAAAAATAGAAGGCAGCCTCTTGGTGACAGTTAAATGTTAATCACCTATGCAGTGGTCATTGTGATTTTTAAATTATTTGCTCCAGGGCCTTTGTAAAGAATTTCCAGTAATTTCTTGTACTGGTATTGCCACTGCAAGGTAGGGAGACTGCCAGTTAACCTCTAGCTTAATGGTCTTACTCAGTGCAACCCTTACTTGGACCTTCCTACCTTTCTGTTAACTGTTTCAGTGCTACAGTACAGTGTTCATGTTCACAGAACAGAAGTAATTCTGAACAGCTGTATCTTGATCAACTGTTGCTTCCCACTGATTTAATTTACTGTGCATTGAGAGCAGTCTGCTTTGGGCTGGAAAACATGAATTGCAAACAGGTGCTCTAAATGTTCGCTCATGCAACAGGTTTGTCTAGTTCGTAGCAGTCTTTTTAACTTGCTGGATAATGAAGACTATGCTGTGAGAGCCTTGGTAGCTTTAGATTGGGTTTATAAAAATATTCTTTCAAGAAAGTAGTCTGTTCCCTAACACTTGATAGAAACCTTACCTGTTCTTGGAAATCAAAAGATTAATAGGACTGTTTAACAGAGTTCAATGTTTTCTTGGAAAGGTGGATAGATTCCATGTTTTGTAGTTTTTACTTATGATTTGTCTGTTTTCTGATTTGTAGCGTATGGCCCTGGCTGATATCGCTTCTAAACAGCTTCCAGCCTCATGAAGAAGATCTATCCAATAATAATGGTAAAGACACTTCTAGTCTGTGCTATAAAGAACTGGGAACAAATCACTCCCCCCCCCCCCCCCCCCTTTTGATGTGGGGAATTGCAGTTGAAAAGCAAATAAGGAAGCCTGTTGCCTTCTAGTATTAGTGCATATGAATACTTTGCAAATGCTGCTTTCTTGTGCTGAGCAGACTTTGCTCTGTTTTATTGTTCCTGAGCATCTCAAATTGCAGGGTGGACCCGTACAATTAAGCGTGTTAATAAGAAGTTTTACTACGTATAGTGGCCTTGCTGAGGTATCTACTAAGGATATTGTACTCGATGCTTTAATGCTTTCTTTACACTGTTTACTGTCTATTTGCCAGCAACCCCCCTTCCAGAAGAATTTGAATTGCAAGGATTCTTGGCTCTGAGGCCCTCATTCAGGTGGGTGACAGCTGAAGGGAGACTACTTTTGCTGTTGTTGCTGCTTTGATAGACATTGACCTGTTCTCTACAGTATCTTATTTACGAATACTTACTATAGTATGGATTAAAGTAGGTATCTTTTCAAAACAACTGTAACAGATAATGTAGCATAAACCCTAAGGAAAATCTTAGACTTTTTTTGTTTTCTTTTGCTTGTGAGTTTTTTCATTTTCTTCTGTAGTCTTCAGACTAGTAAATCGAAAGGGAAAAATTTAAGAAGTGAGGAAAGGAATACTTTTAGATGAAAACTTCTTGATTGTATTTTTATTTTATTGGTTTTTACTGTTTTTAACTGTATCCCTGTACCTAATATACCTAACATCATGCACAAATGCAGACTAAATATTAGATTTTTTTTCACTCAACTGTTGCTTATCTGATTTTCACACAGATGAGCTCTTGGCAGTTTATAACAAAGTAAGGCTGACCAGTTGTATTTCTAAAGAAATATGATGTTGCACGGAGTAATTGTGTAATTAATATTATTCTCTCTCTTGTGTCAATTCTAGGAACTTGGATTTTTCCAAAGGCCACCAGGCAATTACAGGAGATAAGGAAGGGCAACAACGTCGGATACGGCAACAGCGTCTGATCTTCACAGGCAAATGGATTGCTGATAACCAGCCAAGGTAATTGCAAGTAGCTTCTCTGTGTTTCACTTGCTGCTGTAATCCAGGTGCTAGTTATAAACATTACTTTTCTCACTATTCAACACAGTGATTAGGTATAACATAAACGCAAAATGCTGACAGAGCTAGTAAGATGTTCTGTGGCGTGCCATTGCTTTATAGACTTGATTACTTTAAGGAATGTATTTGAAGTAATGTACTTGCTTTTCAATTCCTTTTTGTCTTTTTCAGGTTGATTCAGTGTGAAAATGAGGTAGGAAAGCTGCTGTTTTTGACAGAAATCCCAGAACTATTACTAGAGGATCCTAGTGAAGCCAAAGAGAGTCTCGCCTTGCAGGAAACATCTATTGTAGAGCCACTATCTACAGATGGGAGCCCTGGACTCAAATCAGTTCTGTCTTCTGGCAGAAGCCTGAACAACAACTGTGATGCAGGAGAAAAACCAATGGTCACATTCAAAGAGAACATCAAGCCACGGGAAATTAACAGAGAGCAAGGGCGAATCTATCCCCCTAAAGATGTAGGTAGGGAACGACGGGACTATAACAAAGGAATAGTAGCTAATAAGAATGATGGAAAGAAGGATAACAATAAAAGAAAGAATGAGACCAAGAAATGCGGTTTGGATAAGATGCAGGAAGCAGGAAAGCAGAACGTGGCAGTTCAGGTAAGCCTTTAGATCAAAGGAATACTGTGTCTTAAGCGGTACAATGTTTGTGTCAGGGCTGTCACTGCTTATATAAAGTACGGTAGAGTCAAGGTCTTGCTGTGGGCCCTGCACGTACAGCTAACACACAAGAAACATAGAAACACATCTGTCTCAAAGATCAGGTATTAGCGCTCTTAGGGTCTCTGCCCTTTTCCTTGATGCTCTCTCAATTTCTTGGGGAGGAAAAGATAGGGGAGCAATGAAAGATGATTTTTCTGTGTTAACTGTCTTAAAAACCAGGCTTCTACCTGCTGTTCCTCAGATTATTCAGGCTACCAAGGCAGTTCACAAGACCAGGTTGTAGTTGTGCTCTTACCCATGCTATGGTCTGTTGTGATGGAACTTGGTACTCTGTATTTTCAGTTCAGTTGACTTGTGCACATTCAATAAATTGAACACACTGCAAAAGCACCAATTGTGTATGTGCAGTAAGATCTTCTGTACTGTTTGTGCAGTCAAGTGGCCCTTTGTGGAATAAGGAAAGCCACACTGCTCTTAAATTGTAAATCTGTGCTCAGGCACTTGCTCAGAATTGTTTCACATCAGCTGTTCTTTTATCAGTTGTATTTTCTTAGAGGCAGGCTTTTTTCCTCAATTTCTCTGAGCGTTATGTATGAAAATGCTCACCTCATAAGTGATATGCTGGTCTGACTTCCATCAAGTTGTAGTAAATAAGGGTGAAGAGCTTCAGGGTTGATCTGGTCCGTGTCTGGATAGTTTGGCTGCACCTCTGTCATTCTCTGATGACATCTGGAGGCATGTAATGATATGATGGAGACTCTTTATTATTTCCCTAGAGAAACTATGTCAGTTCTTCACTGTTCTTGCAAGTGGAAATTATTTCCTAATGCATTTCATCTTCCTTGACTCTGTGTAAGCCTATTACTACTTCCCAGGACAGGTCTGCAGAACACCTTAAGTCTTCCTCTTTGCAACTGCTCTGAAGACCTGCCTTGTTTTCCCTTAGGCTAAGCGAACCAGCTCTTTCAGTCTTTCCAGCTTGTGTCATTAGGACCCTTGGATCATTCTTGTTTTCCTCCTGATTATTTGCTATTAAACATCGTTATGAAATGGAAGGCCAGAACTGGCAATGTTATCCAGTTGGGTTTTCAGGGGGTCCTACCAAGGAGGGTAAAGGGGAATAGCCTACAGAAAGTGGGTGGCAATTGTGAGTCACCAAACAAGATTCTGGTATCTGAAAACCAACACAAGTGAGTTAGAATGGCAAGTTTCTTATGTATTTGTTGAAGACGTCTGGAACATGGTTGCAGGCCTGAGCACAACTCTTAGTTTTGGTGTTTCTGCCCCTGTCTTGCAAAATAAGGACTTAAGGCTGTTAAAATCCACTAGATTTTCTGAGAAGTATGGTAGATTTTTTGGGTAGGGAAGGTATTTTAATTTTAACCCAGCTGATTTATCAAAAATTTGCTTGTCTTAAGAGATAGCCCAGGAAAAGCTTACTTCTAACCCGCCTGTAGCAGAATCTTTTCTGATGTGATTGATCACTCTTCGTCTCTTGTTGTATAGAAATTAACTTCGACTTTTTAGTTCTGTCAGCTGTATTTGTTATGGCAGCTATTCCAGTGAAATGTCTTCTGTTTCATATAGTTTGGTGGACTTACTTACCCAGACCTATTCTAGAATATGGGGAGGGTTTGCTTTCTCAGCTCCCCAAGAAACCACTGCTGGGTTTTTTTTTTTAACTGATTGGTGGTCTGTTAGTGCTCACTTTGGCCTTCCTGGAAATTTCAGGCTTTATCCTCCATAGTTAATTGCCTTCAAAAGCCCAAATGCTGCAAATTTTGCAGCTTCTACTTAGCAAAAATGTTAATAATATTATACAAAGGTAATCAGTCCTGTTTCACAGGTAAGTGGAGAACTTCCACATTCAGACAGGATCACAGAAGTGTGACATGGGTTGAATCTCTGCTCTCTAGGGAAAATACAGTTTGGTGCCGAGGAAGGTTTAATGCAGGCTTACTCAAGGTGTTATGTACTCTTAAGAGGTCACTGTGATGATACAGTACTTCTCTCAAGTACCAGGGAGGAACACTTAGGACCACTAGGAGAGTAAATAGTTGGTAGTATTGACAGTTTTGAGGTGAGATCAAGTAGAAGCAGGGAAGCAACTGAAATTCGTCTGTCTTGATTAATCAATTCTAGTTATTTAGGTTTTTTAAAGTTAACTGTAAATCACGGCGGGGGGGGGAGATGCGCTTTTGAAAGCCACCTTTAGAAATGTATTATAGTAGCTTTGAACTTATGATGGGACCAGAGCTCGTGTTTTTAAATCTCATGGCAGGAAGAGTGTCTTTGAATTCTCTAATGTTGTTATAAAAGAATGCATAGCTCTTGGTATTAGTTATTAAAATATTTGGCTTATTGTGGAGGAAAAAAAGGACAAGACAACATAAGTTGAATACATAGAATGTGACAAAGGGTAAAGATGGTCAGTGAATAGATACAGCAAGAGCAAGGGCTGCATCATTTGTTGTGCTTAGCATCAGCCAGAACCTTGAGGTGAGATTTTCTCCTGATTTTTGTCTGAGAGATCAAAAATATACCCAAACCTCCCAGTCTTACAATCTACTTTTTTAATTAAATGCAAAAAATAAGCTACATTCCCATAACTTCTGAATGGGGAAATGTAGATTTATTTGGAAAAGCATTTGAATGCATCTACCCCTTTTCTACTATATTTTGACAGAAAAGACCTGCCCTCTGACTCCTTTCAACTCATCTGCAATAAATGTTGAAATAAACCCCACAGAGTTTTTGTTTGTTTGTTTTGGATTTTTTTTAATGTGGTCCCTGGTAAAACTCTTTCTTTGAATCACCTTTGCGGCTTGGCGTCAGGTCTGCTCCTGGGTCCTTTCTGTATTGCCCGGGTTCCTTGCTTGCTGTCGTTTTCCTGCCTGCTCCATCTTGCATTCCAGGCAGTTCTGCCGAGCTGAACAGAAAGGGAAAGTAGTCTTCCCCTCTGTCTTCCTCTCCAGGAAGACCCAGACCGCAGCAGACTCAGAATCAGGTAAACATTACATTACCTTCTTCTCTCTGCCTCTAACTGGTGCAGCTCTTTTAACAGAACATACAGCAGTTACACAATAATCTGAAAGAAGTTAAGCACTTTTGCTATGTCTTGTATGTTCTTAGTCAAAAGAACTTTGTAGTATGCAGGAATTTGTGCATATACATTACCATATGGATTAGGGTGAAAGAGTTCCCTAGGAAGAACGTGATAGTGCGTGGTTTTCTTAGGTGCTGCAGGTAAGTAGCATATGTTAAGTTGAAGCAGTGCCCTAGGAGAAGCATAACAGCATTTGCACTTCTCTTTTTAAGGCACTGCAGCTGAACAGCAGAAATCTGTTGTATGGTCTGAGGATATTGTGTCCACTTCCCACTCTCTTGCTAGAGAAAGAGCTTTTTGCATCCTATGAGTAGATATCCTTACAGTGCTTTTGTGAGGCAAAGAGTGCCTGAGGACAAGCAGTGTAGACTGCCTGCATTCAGTGAGAGGAGAATGGGGTTCCTGTGTTCTAAGCCTTTCCCAGTTACTTAGGGAAAAGAAAATAATGTCTAAGACAATCTGGGAGTTCATTTTTTTTGTCTTAAGAGATATGATATGGGTAATTACAGGAAAAGTTATCTAATTTCTTCTTACTTGCTTTTACATTAGGTGAAGTCCCAGACAGAGATGAGGAAGACTCCAGTGTCTGAGGCAAGGAAAACACCTGTAACTCAGACTCCAAGTCAGGCCAGCAGTTCTCAGTTCATCCCCATTCATCACCCAGGAGCCTTCCCTCCCCTTCCTAGCCGGCCAGGTAATTTGCATCATTCTTTTGAAATGTGATTATTATTGACTGCAAAGAAAATATGTAATAGTGGTTGTTACAGCCTCTGAAGGTAGGAGCTGTTTTAATGAACATGCATTCTCATGTTGAGAATCTTACAAAGAAGTAAGGAAAGGGCATAGCAGAACCGAAACAAGATAAGTAAGATTCCTATGCTTTGGAATCGAGGTCTGTCATGAAATCTGATGTCATCTTCATGGTTAGTGGGTGTGAGATCAAAGAACTTCATAGTAGGCTATTTCTGTAGTTAGTCAAAACATGACAAAGTGTTTTGGTAGTTCAGGAGGAAGTACTCTCTGTGCATAGGACTCCATTACAAAAGATCAGTCACACTGCTTTCTTCTTTGAAGCTCAGTGTCTTTTGTAGTGTTGCTCATGTTTTAGGCTGTAATTTGTGTGGTGGTCTTTGCTGTTGTTGCTGCATTGTGTTCCCATTTTGTTGTGGAATGTTCCTGTCATATGTTGCTGTCCATGTTTATTCATGAAATAGCTGGAGGCTGAATCTTCCTTCCCTGCAGCTGTATGTCTAGTTGCTTAATATAAGACAGAGACACATGTTCCCTGGAACCATGTCAGCATAAAATGTGGCCCGTGAGATGCAGAATTAAAGCTTGCCTTCCAGACCTGGCTTGTCAGTGTGAACTTCAGGAAAGAAATTGATCTTGCAGATATGAGGATTTGTTTACTTACCATCTGTCTCTATCTAAATTAATCCAGAGACTGGTGATCCTTTGGGAGGAGGCAGTAGACTTATTGATTGCTTCTGTCCATTGTTCCGGAAATTTAGTCCCTGAAAATGTGTGTGTTTTGAGGGGGAAGGAACTTCAGGGATAAAAACATCAAACCCCCCAGAATGGTAAGGGAAAAGGTAGTGGGGGAAGAAAAATCAGGGAGGTTGAGGTGTGTGTGGAGGGAAACATGACTTTCCCAGGTGCTGCCCTGGCTGACTGTTATCAATGCTTGCAATATTGCAAGAAAACTCAAGAACGGATTCTGAATTCAACTATGATCACAGCCATATATGTGCAAAGATGAGAAAGGACATTATAGTGCAAGTATGTAAACTGGTGTTTCCTGTCCTTGTGGTCTAAATGAGCAAAATAGGAAAAAAAATCCTCACAAAATTATTTCTGGAGGGAACTATCTGCTCTGTCAAATTGTGATTAAAGATCACAATCTCACAATTGTGATTAAAGATCTCTTCTTCTTTGGAGAAGAGATTCAAAGCAGCCCTGTGGAGAAGGACTTTGGGGTGTTGGTTGATGAGAAACTTGACGTGAGCCAGCTTCAGTGTGCGCTTGCAGCCCAGAAAGCCAACCGTATCCTGGGCTGTATCAAAAGAAGCATGACCAGCAGGTCAAAGGAGATGATCCTGCCCCTCTACTCTGCTCTTGTGAGACCTCACTTGGAGTGTTGTGTACAGTTCTGGTGTTCTCAGCATAAAAAGGACATGGAGCTGCTGGAGCAAGTCCAGAGGAGGCCGCGCGGATGATAAGAGGGCTGGAGCACCTCCTGTATGAAGACAGGCTGAGAAAGTTGGGGCTGTTCAGCCTGGAGAAGAGAAGGCTGCGTGGAGACCTCATAGCAGCCTTCCAGTATCTGAAGGGGGCCTACAAGGATGCTGGGGAGGGACTCTTCATTAGGGACTCTAGTGGTAGGACAAGGGGTAATGGCTTTAAACTTAAACAGGGGAACTTTAGGTTAGATATAAGGGAGAAGTTCTTCACAGTGAGGGTGGTGAGGCACTGGAATAAGTTGCCCAAGGAAGTTGTGAATGCTCCATCCCTGGCGGTGTTCAAGGCCAGGCTGGACAGAGCCTTGGGCGACATAGTTTAGTGTGTGGTGTCCGTGCTTATGGCAGGGGGGTTGGAACTAGATGATCTTAAGGTCCTTTCCAACCCTAACTATTCTATGTTTCTATGTATTTTTATCTTTTTCAGGGTTTCCACCCCCAGCCTATGTTGTCCCCCCACCTGTGGCTTTCTCCATGAGCACGGGGTACACCTTCCCAGGTGGTGTTTCTGTCCCAGGAACCTTCCTTCAGCCCACAGCTCACTCGCCTGCAGGAAACCAGGTGCAAGGTGGGAAACAGTCCCACATTCCTTACAGCCAGCAACGGCCCTCTGGACCAGGGCCAATGACCCAGGGACCTCAGCAAACACCACCTCCTTCCCAGCAGCCCCTCTCATCTTTACCAGCTCAGGCAACAGCACAGTCCACAAGCCAGTTACAGGTCCAAGCTCTGGCCCAGCAGCAGTCCCCTACAAAAGCTGTGCAGGGTCTGGGGAAGAGCCCACCACACCACTCCGGATTCCAACAGGTAAACTTGACTAATGCAGTGGGCTAAGCTTCGTTTAAAAATAAATAGCAGCATTCAAGACTTAAGCTCCTGGATTACCTTTTCAAAACTGTCATTAAAGACCTTGGTGTGGAATTTTGACCTTTGAACTTCTGGGCAAATTTGTAGAAGAGCTGAAATTTAGTGGGTGCAAACATACGATCCTGTAACATAGGGGAGGTATATCTGGAATGGGCAGGTGGACATCCTTTCCCCTTTTAGTTTTATATTCTGTCCCCTGGTTATTTCCCTTAGTAGCAGTAGTGTTATATTGTACTGTAGTCATTAAACTGTTCTTACTGTAGCCCGTGGATCTAACATTCCTTTGATTCTCCTCCCCATTCTGCCCGGGGGTGAGCAAGTAGCTGTGTGGGGCTGAGTTACTGGCTGGGTTTAAACCATGACACACAGCAAATCAGAATGTGGAATGTTTATCACAAGTAAACCAGACTGACAGTTTGAATGGAGTTAGGCATTCAGTTAACTAATTGTTCCTACCTGCTGGTGAAATCATATGTTTCTGCCTCAGTATCCACAGACGGACTCGTCAAAGCAGCTCTGGAACCCACCTCAAGTCCAAGGCTCACTGGGGAAGATCATGCCTGTAAAGCAGTCCTATTACCTGCAGGCACAGGACCCTCTAAAATTATTTGAACAGTCATTACAGCCTCCTGTGATGCAACAGCAACCTCTGGAGAAAAAAATGAAGCCTTTCCCAATGGAGCCATATAACCAGAATCCCTCAGAAGTCAAGGTGCCAGAATATTACTGGGACTCTTCCTATGGCATGGCTGACAATAGGGTGATGGCACAGCAGTCTAACATGGACCGCAGGGGAAAACGGCAAGGAGTCTTCCGCCCAGAGCAGGATGCTGTCTCCAGGATGACCTTTGAGGTAAAGATCTGTGCTATAAATGGTGAAAACCAATGAGGTGCTAATATTCCTGACAACTCTAGGAGTTCCCCTGTTTCAAGACTGCTCTGTAGTCCCAAGTAGGTCTTTAGTTAGTAGGGATCTGGGTATCAGTAAATGGGATTGCAGCAAACAGTGATGAATTCTCCATTATCGGTTGGCTGTGTGTGGGATCCGGCTCTTGAAGATTTTGTTTCAGGTAGGTGTAAGTCTTGTTCGGTGTAGATGTAACATTGATCTCTGCACTGTCTGTCATGTCGAGAAACATGGGAGCTCATAGTTTTGGGGAATATTCTTGTCTGGCAACTGGTGAAAACAGTAAAAGCCATCCAAATAATCCTAGTTTAATTATTACCTTTTAGATGAACTCTTGACACCCATATAGTATCTTGAATGTGTTGAATGGCTGAGGCTGCAATAGGGAGATAAAGGCTGGAAACTGGAGATGACAGGAGCAATCTTGTCTTGGATTACTACTTTTTTTTTTTTTTCTTTTTTTTTTTTTTTTTTCCCCTGCAGACTCCACCATGCAGTGAGAAGAGCTGAATGACTTTCTTAGCTCTTGGTTGCACGAATGTAACACTTTGCTTCTGTTCATGCAGTTGTGCTTCATGTTGCTGTTTATAAAATCTGCAATCATTGTTATTAATTACCAGTCCTGGAGTTGTCTGTGAGTGCTTTTGGTGATGTTTATAAGGAAATTTAAACAGAGGTCTCTTTAAACCTTTGGTCAGATGTGCCTCTGTAAATGCACTCCAGATTTTCAGAAGGTCGGTTGAGATCACTTGGCTTATTCTTCAGAGAGAAAAGCGAGATGATACAGAGGAGTCTGCCTCTACCCTGATGTCAGGTTGTGGTTTTTAGATGGAGACAGGATCAAAGCCTTGTTCTCATCCCTAAAAGGGACGCCTTGCCTTGGTGGAAGCACAGTGCAGTACAGACAGAACCTGCACCCGTGATGCTTGTGTAAACATCCCTCACAAAAGCCAAGATGTGGAGTTTGACCAGCACTTTGCAGGAATTTTTTGGCTCAGAGGTCTAGTCAGCTGTGCATTGGCTCAGCCGCCATTAGCAGCAAAAAGAAGTCTCACGTGATTTGAACTCCACAAATAGATGAGGGAAGAATATGCAAATGTAATTTTATTTGAAACCTAAATTACTCACAGGTCAGCTGTAGAAGAATAATTTCATGATTTTGTGTTCCTTGTCCTTGAATGTGAAAACAGGTTCAGTATTTGGCATGGATGTAATAGGAAGCACATGCTCCACTAATTAAAACTAGCTGCCCACCATTTTGATGCTGCAGTGCTCCTCCCAGTATGTGTTAGGCAATGTGGCTAGCTACGTTTTCTGCTTGGTATTTTCTCTGCGTACCTCAGCACACTTCTGCTGCGCCACTTTCTCACCTCACATTTCTGCATGCTGCCTTCTGCTTTTCTCTTGCTGTTTTCCTTCAACCCGCTGTGCCTTAGCCTCTCCTCGCTGTCTCTTGCTGTTCCCCTTTCTGCCTTCCGTTGTCTTACTGTGGTCATTTCTGTCACTAGGACCCCAAGAGCTCCCCTCTGCTTCCTCCGGACCTGTTAAAGAGTCTGGCTGCCTTGGAGGAGGAGGAAGAGCTGATTTTCTCTAATCCTCCTGATCTTTACCCAGCTCTGCTGGGGCCTCTCGCCTCTCTTCCTGGACGAAGCCTCTTTGTATGTATTTGATGTAATACTGCTGCTTCTCACTCTTAACTAGCATCTCTTTCTTCTGTGAAATTATAAGAAATGCAAAATGCCTTTCTCTCCCCCCCATCTCTCCTGTCCACTTCCTGCTTCACCCTTGAGCTATTCTTCATGTGAGAGCTCAGACCAGCTGAAGGCCCACATTATAACTCTTGGGCTGAATTCAGGCCTGATAATTTGTTCAGAAATCAGAATAACAGTGGTGTTCAGGAGAGACATTGATACAACATTTAATGCACTTGCTCTTCTGCAGTTGTATGGCCTTAGTAGTAAGGGCAAGGAGGAACACAGATTCAGCTGTGGGAAGTCATCAGGAAGAGCATGGCTTATTATAAGCTGTGTATAAAAAGTCCATAAAGGCAGGGGGAAGAGTTCCCTACTAAATGGATAAGAGATGGTAAAAGAGCAAAATGTCTTTGGAAGGAAATTGCAAGCAACTGGCTAAATAATTGGTAACTCCTATAGAAATAGTCATTTTTGACAGACTGAATTCCCTACATTTATGTATTAAAACCTTCCTAGTTGACTAGCTTCAGTGTCTTAGAGCTGCTGAATTTGTAAATTGCCTCTGAAAATGCAGTACACCTTTCTAGTATGGCTATAATCATGTTCATTAAGTACTACTATTTCAGATTAGTAGCAGTAACAAAGAAAAGTAATTTGTGACTCAATCTCTGATCAAGTCTATTCCTCATTTACTTTACACACCATCCTAAAGAGCCAGTAGCAAAATAGACACCCATTTCTGTCTCATTAGATACCTTCGCTAAGTAACTAATAGCTGCTTCTTCAACAGCTTCCTTTGAAGCTCCTACTTTTGCTGTCTGCTGACAAATGGAAGGAAATTCTCTGTGCAAGCTGTGTGTATATGCAGAGTGTGAATTTTGTCTGCCTTTTAAAATGTGCTTTCAAAGTAATGAGTTGTCACTTTGAAAATCTAACAAGCTAGGAGCTGCTTGCAAAGAAAATGAGGCTATTTGTCTTAGGTTTACAGGATAAAAGCAAAGATATTCCAGATAAAAGACCATGGTAAAGAGAAGGGGACACTAGTTCAGGTTTCCTGTTTTTTTTTTTTTGAACAATAGATTTAAAAACATGTGACATGCCTGAGCTGGTATGAGTGCAAGAGGGCTTTTATTTGGAACAAGACTGCACCTTTCATTCTGGATCACACATGGTTTTACTTATGGCTTCACTATTTCTATGTCTTGGTGATCCTGATCCTAAATTTGGTGGTGTTAATTGTATTTTTATAATTTTTTTTTGGTTTCTGTATCGGTGGTAACTAGGCTTGTTTCAGAGACACTATTTTCCACTGCTTGATTATAGTAAGAATTGAAGAGAAAGCTGAGAAATACTATGCTGCACGTAACAGCTGAATGAGAGGGGGTGGCCATAGGTGATGGAAAAGGTCACACAGTCCATAATATCTTACCATGGAACCCCAGGGGAGTTTTTGAACCTTTGTTTTAAGCATTAGGTTCTGCTTTGGGGTTTTTTTGGAGTGGGTTTGTTTTGTTTGTTGTTTTTTTTTGTTTGGTTTTTTTTTTTTAATTCCTCTCTACAGTCATTTATGATGAGAATGAGAGAGCACTAAATGAAACTTGGACTCTATAACCCAATTAAAAAATCACAGCACTTGGCTGCTTTTGCTATAAGAATGTCTGTACAGCAGGGATGTTCTCAAAACTGAAAAATACTGTCAGTAGCAGCGTCCAAGAGTCTCATCTTGTTTGAAGGAGTCCTCTGACCATTCGGAAGGATCCGGTCTTGTTTGTATGAGGATTTTTAGGGTTTTTTTCTCCCCAGGATCTCCCCTCTAGATGTGTCAGAGTGTTACACTTCAGGTTGAAAAGCTGTTCTGGCAGTGGGGTTTGCCCAAGGCTCTCAGCTGTTGATACTAATTACAGGTAGTAAGGAAACTTTCTGCATTTGTTAGTCTGTTCTCTTTATCCTCCAACATGCTGGAGCCAAAAAACAAGGAAGGTTTTAAAAGTGACCATCTTAACAGTTTCTAATAGCATACTTTCCTCCTGCTCACTACGCTGAACAATAACTTCTCTTCTTCCACTTTTTGGTTTCTAAAGAAGTCCCTCCTGGAAAAACCATCAGAACTGATGTCTCAGTCATCGTCTTTCCTGTCCCTCAGTGGTTTTTCTCTTAATCAGGTAAGTGAGGACCAGAGTCTGCACCACTTTGCTGTTTAAGCTTGCCATTAAACTGGGTAGCATGGCAGAAATATGGGGATATCCTTTAGTTCATACCAGTGGAAGACATGAAAGAAATCTGTATGTGTGCCTAACTTCAGTCTGTAATAGTAAGATTATCTTTGCCTTTTCAGTTGTCTTCACAAATTCATTCTAGCTGGAGTTCTGCAGACATAATGTTGTATCTTACTGAGTTCATGGGCTCCTTGCTCATAGTAGAATCATGGAAGTTGGCTGAAAAGGTGCATCTCAAAGTGTTATGGTGTGTAGGGTTGTTTTCTTCCTGAGCACTGTACTACCCATTCTTTTCCAGAGAACTGAGCAGGGTCTTCAAACAATTTTTGTGAGTACTGGGAATTTAAAGATTTTTGTGAAGGTTTTGCAGTCCAGCCAGGAGAAATCTATCCTGATTTGAAATGTGATGGACTTCATATTACATAAAATGTTCACAGAGCTGGGGAGTGACAAAGGAGTTAGGAAAATATTTTGATCTATAATTGTACAGTCTCAGTGTTTGAAATAAATCTAATGCCTAAACTAAATACTCCTTTGGGTTTTGGTTTTTGGGTTTTTTTTGTTTGGTTGGTTTTTTTTTTGTTTGTTTGTTTTTGGTTTTTTTTTTTTTTTTTGTTTGTTTTGTTTTGTTTTTTCCCCAGGAAAGATACCCAAATAACAGCATGTTCAATGAGGTATATGGGAAAAACATGAATACCAGCACAAAACCAGAAGTCACCCCTTCAGTTGCGCATCAGGAGACTTCACTGTATTCTCTCTTTGAAGGGACACCATGGTCTCCATCCCTTCCAGCCAGCTCAGGTAATCCTGGTATGTTTTTTCTTGTGTCTAGTGATTTAAGAGGATTTGAGTTAATTCTGCCCTGCAGAGAAGGACTTTGGGGTGTTGGTTGATGAGAAGCTCGACGTGAGCCAGCTTCAGTGTGTGTTTGCAGCCCAGAAAGCAAACCATATCCTGGGCTGTATCAAAAGAAGCATGACCAGCAGGACAAAGGAGGTGATC